CGCCGCCGCCACCGGACCCGTGGCAGGCCGCCGGAGGGGCAGCGCCGCCGCCACCGGACCCGTGGCAGGCCACCGGAACCGTTCCACCGCCACCGGACCCGTGGCAGGCCACCGGAACCGTTCCACCGCCACCGGACCCGTGGCAGGCCCCTGAACTGTTTTGCTGCTGCCGCCGGACCCGGGGCCGTCCGCCGGAGCTGCTACGTCGCCGCCGTTGGGCTCGAGGTAGGCCCCCTGAACACTCTTGTTGTGTTGATGGGCCGCCTGTGACTGTTTGTGGCGTCTTTTCGTTTTCTTTTTGCACCGCTGCGGGATGCGCGGTCTGACTCTGAGACTGTGGACTGGGTCGGTTTGTTGTTTTGTTGTTTTTGCTTGTTTTGGTTCTGGCCCTCCGTCCTGGTTCCCCCAGCCGCCCGCCCTGGGTTGGTTGTGCTGTTTTTTGTTTTGGTTTTGGGGTCGTCGGGAGCCGACCCTTAGAGGGGGGGTACTGTCAGGGTCCTGGGACTGGGCGACCCAGGATCCCTGAGCAGTTATGTATTTTATTATTATTATTATTATTATGTATTTTGGTATTGCTGCTGCTCTCCTCCATGATTGTAGATGTGAGTGTGTGTGTTTGTCTGTGGGGACGCTTGGAGGATGGAGCTCAGCCACCTGCAGGCCTGAGGGGTGTGGCCCTGCGGAAGGACTGGCCACACCCGAAGCCACACACCTGCCGCTGATCAGGGCTCGTCGGGGGAGCTACTTAGGAGAGTCTTGGAGCTCCCACCGACGCGGGATCATTGCTTGGGACTCCACGTTAGTTACCCAGTTTAGGTTTTGGTCGTGTAGTGTATGCCTGCCATTGTTCAGTGTCCTGACTGCTGCCGCTATTGTTTCCCGCAGGAGGAGCGTGGAGGGCTTAAGGAGCAGCGAGCACCGGGAGTGCAGACACGGGAGCAGAGAGCACTTGGAGGACACGACACGGGAGTCTGGGGAGAAACACGGGGATTTATTGTTGTTTGATATCACCCTCTGTAAATAAACACTGTCTATACGTAGAGCACCGCGCCTGGGTCCTCCTTCCACGGTGTGCCATGCCACACCGTGACACGCACGTCCTTGGTTTCCGAATGCTTCACACTACCTCCGCTTTGTCATCGCGCACGCTTGATGAGCAGCTTAATTTCAAGGAATTATTATCCTGTTGTCTCTAAACTGCAGTGACAGCCTCATCACATTTAACCGTGAGTCCTTGAAGGAGCAGTCGGGACAGAGGCAGGGAGCCAGAGTGCATTCTGCCGCAGCCGAGAGAGATGATTTAAAAATGTTGGTTGAAATAATGCGCTTCATGATTCACACGGATGCCATCAATGCATGAATAATGTATTCCTGCATTACTAACCCTAACCCCATTAACTTTCTACCTTCAGCACAGCGCCCCCTCTTCTTTCTTCACTCATAAACTCATCTTCTCTTTTGCTCCTGCTGCTTCTGAGAGCAGGGATTTGTTTTGCAAAGTGAGGCAGCATAAAACATTTCACACACTCTACACAAAAAAATTTATTCTTGGCTCTCATATAACATGAGACAACAATTTTGATTAAAAGGCAGCCAAAAATATAAAAATCATTAAGAAAAACATATTTTGTATAAACCGATTGTATACCAGTCAAGTAAATTTCATTTGGCCAGAGTCAGTTAAAGTTTTACAGTGTACTTATGTAACAAAATTACACTGAAAATTTACATCTAATCAGATTACTTAAAGTCAGTGTTATAAGATTTTATCAACATTTAGGGTATAAATGTTGAAAGGTACAGATGAGTTTTAACGTTGTAGTTAGTCAGTTTATTGGTGTAGTTGGGTACTTTTTTCCCCCCACTGCTGATGGCTGTTTCCCGCTTTATTAATACTAGACAAAGACATTTACAGGTTATTTTTGAGTCTAAAAGCAACTTAAATCATCTCATCGAAACACCAGGGGATCTAAATGTAACGTTAAATCCATAAATTAACATTATTATATTTTAAATTTTTGTCTTATTAAGGGTTTATCTGTTCAAAACTCCCGGCCTGGTGCGTGTTTTCACTAACAAGGTGTATTCATGTAAACCTAATATTTTCACTTACACCCACTCAGTAAACACTGTCTTGTTCAGATTGGTTGGTTTATAAATAAGTAAGTCTGTAAGTCACGACAGAGTAACTGAACAGAAAATCATGAGACTCCCTCACAGTATACACATGTGTAATTGCACATTAATAATATTACCATATCATGCCTATTCTGTGATAAAGACCGTCATGCTTGATCAGCACAGGTGGGTGTTATTGTTGTGCTACTTTGTACTTTATAAAAATGTAGAGCTGTTAAATCCTGTTAATCTCTGTCATGGGTGACTTTCCAGAGCAACACCAGACAATTCACACGCACTGTTTGTGTTACACTTTACTGTTTAACTTTACTGTAAAAGGCACATGCTATTCCAATAATGGGCTAAACTTGAAGCAATATAACAACATACAAAGTAAGTAAGACTTGAAAACAGATGCTTTAATGCTTTAACACAGAATCTATTTAGACGTTTGCAGAACAATCCCATGGAAAAGTAAACTCACTTTTTTTCTTGCTTTAAATCAATTAGGTTGAAGATTAACTAATGTAATAATTTAACTAATTGAATGTAATTTCCAAGTGGACATACTTTATAAACCTTTTAATTTTCTAATTTAAAATTTTACTTGATTTAGGCACGGTCTGTAAAGCCTGTTACTCGAGGCACACTGTGAGACCGATAGGAGGTAAATCTCTGCAAGCATATCAATTTTGTCAACTAAGAGGTTCTCTTGGGAGGATTATGTCAGCTGGACAATAGGGGCAGGATGGACAGTGCTAGAAGCAGTGAGGAGTTGGCAATGTTGAGTGTGGGGTTTTGTAAAGCCTTAAAAATAAAGGCTTTTTGGGGTTATAGTGCTGTTAAATGCTTCTAAAATGCCTGCCACCCACTCCTCCACATCTATGCCCCAGGTAAAGTGTTAAAAAGCGCTATTATCTCATATTTTGTGGCGTACCCAGGCTTAAATGCTCTGCAGACAAGCTGTCCCTGTGGAAATAGACGCTATCCTGCCTTTTAATTGCCCCCTAAATGCTTGTCCAGAGTCTCATACTACCCATAACATCTCTGATTTGAAGCTTCTGATTAATCCCCCCGTAGCTTTGATTTCATGCTTATATTAGTGTTTAGATGGTTGCCATGGGAAACCCAGTGGGGCCGTGTGCCTCTAATGAAAGAAATCACATAGCTGGGCATGCACTTCACAGCACTGCTGCACTGGCTGGCTCCCTGCATGCTTTTAACTCTTTCAGCTTGGCTGGTCCCTCATGGAAATTTATCAAACCTGACTGAAACGCGATCATTTTCTGCATCTCTCATCTTTCTTTCTTTCATTTTCTCCTGCTCCGTTTCCTTTTACAGAAGTGCTTCAGATATTGCCACTGTGAATGTAAATGGTGAATTATATTAAGCATGGAAAGAGTAAGAGCAAGGCTCATGAATCTGTGGAACACAATCAGTGTCAATGTCGGTCCCACTTCTGTCACAGTCTGCATGCATATTGTCAGGATGATGAAGGATATATCTGCCATAGGTGGTTACTCAGGGCTCTGTTGCAGTGTGTGCTATAGTCTTTGAGTGGAGTAGGCTCTCATACAGATGAGCCTCACAGTTGCAGCCCATTAAGGGATCATCAGTCTGGAAAGCCACCACTTTTCAGACTCGCTGGGAGCGAATTGAACAAAGTCATCTGACCAGACTCTCTGCTCCAAGCCTGATGCTCATCACAAAAACAGCAATAAAACTGTGAGCACCCAGCAACGATGACTGCTATTTTTCGCTCACAGAATGTGCAGCACTGTACTGAGGTTACAGCTCTATGGCACTACAGCCAGAGAGCTCACACTTAATTAAAGAGATGATAACTAAAGTGTGTAATTAGCTATTTTCGCACAGTGGGTTCTGAGATCATAAGTAATGTTTGGAGCCGCAATACTGTCATGGCTAAATCCTTTGTAGAGCTATGTCATGTTTATAGCTGAAGATAAACAAATCCTGAGCTCATTGTCATTCTGCAGTGAACAGTCTATGGAGTTTATGAGTTGTTCAATTGTAACATATAATATGATCGCTTCTATTCCTGCCACTCCATTCCTGCCATGCCATTAAAACCACTGAGAGGTTAAGTGAACCTAATTGATTATTGCGTTGCAATGTAATGTTCTGAAACCTTGGTGCCTTGCATGCTTGTGGATATTATTTACCATTGCTGTCAGCACCTTCTAATGGTGGCTGCATCCCCTATCAGGACAACATGGCACATCATACCACAAAACCACACCGGAAGAACAAGAGGAACACAAAAAATAAAGAAAAAATAAAATAAAACCAGGTAGTAACTTTGACTCACTAACTACAGGGATCACAATGGAGTCATGCACAAATGGCATCCTTAAACTTGGTCTATGCACACACAACCCCCAGTACTATTGGTGCACCTAGAAATGGTATTTGGAGTGTATTTTTTAAAAAATTATAGTGATATTATACAAAACAATTTTTGAAGATTTACCAAAACATAATGTGAAGATGTGTCTGTAGATGGCCTGGTCAATCTATGTTCCAGTCCTCTCCTTTATATGTATATATCTGAATTACCCCTAAAAGAATAACACTGTATAAAAGCAGCAGAAATTAGCTTCTTCTGAAGGGCTTAGCCTTCTAGGTAGCATGCAAGTTATTCTGAAGGGGCTAGAGCTGCTACTCTATATTGAATGAAGCCAGCTGAGGTGGTTTTATGTCTAGGATCCCTCCTGTGACAAAGGCAACCGAGGAGGTTGCTTTTGGCTCCCATGTGGTTATCTCTGCTTAGACTGCCGCCGCTGTGATCTGGACCACAATGAAAAGTAGAGGATGGATGGATGGATGGAACCATGGCTACTATGTTTTTTGTGTGTTTCCAGATTCTTGTTGGAGAGCTGTGCGCCTTCTTCACCAAGGCAGAGGGAACCCAGGAGAAGACCATTGTGACTGCAGACTGCTGCTACTTCAACCCCTTACTGAGACGCATAATACGCTTCTTGGGTGAGCATGCTGTAGTGTCTTCCACAGTCCCTTTTTCAGGCTTTTGAAGTGACACATCTAAATCTTTCTAACCATTTTCATATATAAACTGTGGACAGTGTCAGGTCACGATTCCTCCAAAAGGATGGAAGCTCGGTGCAGTGTGCAGGTAGCTGGAGTTGTAACAAACACTTGTAATGAATTCTCTTTACCTGTTGTATTCTGACACTGACTTGTTTAAACATCACATAGACTTTGAGGTACTGGGCAATGCTTAGTCATTTTCAACAAAGTAATGTATTACTTTTCTTAAAAGTGCAAAATATTCACAGCACTTCACTTGGTCCACATTTTGCGGCGTGTGACCATTAGTAACAAAGGCACCAAGCACTGGGCATGGTGGTGGCAGGATCATGCTGTGGGGATGTTTTTAAGCAGCAGGAACTGAGAACTAGTCAGGGTTGAGGGAAAGATGAACATGGAGTGCAGCAATGTTCAGAGACGTCCATGATGATATACAGCTCCAGAGCACTCTTGGCTTCAGGACTGGGGTGAAGGTTCATTTTCCAACAGGACAACTACCCTAAGCACACAGCCACTGGGTGTATTTTTTCTATTTTTTTCGGTAGTTCTGCAAAGAAGAAACTGCCCTAAAAACAGGTATGCCATGCTTGTAGCATCACATTCCAAAAGACTTGAGACTGTAATTGCTGTATAATATAATGGAACAAGGCTTTACATGACACAATGTGGAACAAGTGAAGCACTGTGAGAACATTCTGGATGAACTTTAATCTACTTTGTTACTTAATTACTCAGCATTGAAAAACAACCTAAAGAGAGTTTAAAGTGATTTCCACAGTTCTACTTGTTCATGTTCTACTATAGAAACATGAACAGGTAGAAATTAATGCTACAATGCTGCAAGACTGACTGCTCATCACTGCTTTCGTTACCTGGGCAAGACTAAACTCTGGCTGCTGGGCTGAGGTCAGCATGCAGTAAGATTTAACGTCACTTTGGGTTCTTGGCTAGCTATTTGTTTGATGGTAAATGGTAATGGGCTCGTTCATATATAGGGTATCCACTCAGCGTGCAGATAACTTGTAACACAAGTAATGACTTTAATGTAACCGTAATATAATTACTGAATTTAGTGCAGTAACACATTACTTTGGGATGTGTTGGACCCAGCACTGCTCGATGGCAGGCTTTAATCTGTTTATTTGTTTTTTTTAACATTGGGGCTCTCACTTACAGGCATCCTCAGTCTATAAATAAGTGCTTCATAAGTGTGTAATTGAATGATGAAAAATAAAAGAGAATAAAAAGTACCATTTAACATTATGAAAGAAATTGCTGAACTGGAAAAACCTGACCTGCTGTTTGTCAGCCACAGCTGGCACATGAAGCTGTTAATTGGATGATCAAATGTGGCATAATGTTTGAGGTAGATTGCTCAGGATCCTGGCAGTAAGGCTCCCATGAATATTAAGAAGCCTACCAATCTGCATCTTGAGCTGAATCAGCTGAGGAGGAGGATTCTGTTGCAATTTCACACATAATAATGTGTTGGGGCTCTTTGAAGTAGAAGCATTTACTACTTTTATCACCTGGTGACGTGTGTCTCTTTCAAAATCTATATTTTCTTTTAATAAAAATAAAATATATGCTTGCTTATTAACTTTTCCACAATTCCCCCTTCTCTACACTCTTGTCCTGTCCAGGTGTTTATGCCTTTGGTCTATTCACCACGACTATTTTCGCCAATGCCGGCCAGGTAGTGACAGGAAACCAGACGCCTCACTTCCTGTCTGCCTGCCGACCAAACTACACAGCATTAGGCTGCCAGTCCACGATGCAGTACATCACAGAGCGACGGGCCTGCACAGGCAACCCACTGATTGTTATGTCTGCACGTAAATCCTTCCCATCTAAGGATGCAGCACTCAGCGTCTACTCAGCAGTGTACACAGTGGTAGGTTGGACAAAACTGGAGGTGATATTGCTACTGTAAAGATTTAAGACTTAACGGGAGTTTCAGATGTGTTCTAGCAATTGAAGCCCACCTGCTGTCTTTACTGTGTTATTTCAGGCCCATGCCAAACTTTCTGTTTTTAGTGAACACCATTGCCACTAGATCTCAGATTAGGATGAAATCAAAGAAGACCATCACATATTAAAGAATGCAGTCATTTGAAAAGGAAAGTTACATAGGGTCCTGTGGAAAACGGCAATAAAATGGCTTGTTGAATTGCTTTTAGCATCCATAACTTGAAATTAGAGATGGACCGATCCGATATTACGTATCGGTATCGGTCCGATACTGACCTAAATTACTGGATCGGATATCGGAGAAAAATAAAAAATGTAATCCGATCCATTAAATATCATGAAAGCACCTCACAAAACTTGCAACACGCCGTAACTCACCTCAGAACGTTAGCACGTCGGAGCAGTATGCATCATGTGATAGAGCGGCTGTGGCATGCGGGACCTGTCGGTGGTCTGGATAGCATTTGGAGCTTCGCTAGCAACCCGGCATGTCATCTCCGACAAAGTTATCCCCGAGAGAAGTAAAGCAAGTGTGTAAGTCCATCTCTGAATGTATGTAAAGCATTCCTGCGTTAAGCTTAACAAGCGACTGCCTCTTCTTGCTGCTACTTCAATCATGAAACTGCTTAATGATCAGCTGATCTGCTTTTCTGTTGCGAGTGAGTCCGTCTCTCTGGTTTGTTTTTGGCCCACTTTGCACCAGAAAGAGGAAACCAGTGGCTGAACAACAGCAGCACGTTTAAGCTTGATAAGCTGTCGTTAGAATTTATTTAATATTACTTTCTACACCAGGATCTTTTTTTACGTAGCTGACGGCTGGTAACTGTGCAGGGGCGGATCTAGCAAAGTTTAGCCAGGGGGGCCGATAGGGCATTAACAGGGAAAAGGGGGCACAAAGACATACTTTTCTTTCTTATTCTCATTTAAAATGTCTAGCTTTTAATAAATAATTATCTGACACCCAAAGTTTTAATTTGATGTAAAATGAATAGAAGTCAATTACTGTATATAGTATATAGTGACTATTAAGTCTAATATATATACCCTAGTAAGCTATAGTACTTTTTCCTTTGGAAAGGTACCATCTGTGCAGTCTGCACTTTTGTTGAAGAAAGATGTTGAATCTATTTAATATTTCTTGAAAAATAATTGATTTCTGTGCATTTTTTTTCACACTGCATCAAATTAAAGTTGATTACGTCGATTAAGCACCATGAGGTGGAGCGTGAGGGGTGGTTCCCTATTTTTTATTTATTTATTTTTGTTGTTGCTGGGAGTTGGAACCCTATTAGTTAGGTTGCTTAATATTTACGCTAAGTACTCTTTAAAATACCAGAATAGGGAGGATGGTGTAGGTTTAAGTTTATTAGATTGATCAGTATTGCTGAACTATGAAATATATTTTTTTTGCATACAGGTATAACAGAATAGCTTTAGTGTAGTTGTTGTTTTAAACTTGAGTATGAACTTATACAAAATGCAGCAAGATATTAAAAAAAACAGTTTTGTTGATTAAAAAACACTATATCGGATTCATATCGGTATCGGCAGATATCCAAATTTATGATATCGGTATCGGTATCGGACATAAAAAAGTGGTATCGTGCCATCTCTACTTGAAATAAGTGTTTTCTTTTCTTCTTTAGGACTTTGCTTAAGTTCTTTGAGGTTTGTGGGCACTCATTTATGCACCACTCTGTTATAGTCCTGCTACAAGTTTTCACTTGGGTTGAGGTCTGGACTTTGACTCGGTCAAAGTCGAGTGCTCATCTATCTATCTATCTATCTATCTATCTATCTATTAGGGGTGCAACGATACACAAAATTCACGGTTCGGTTCGGTTCGATACTTTGGTGTCACGGTTCGATATTTTTTCGATACAAAAAAAATGTTCATGCCTTTTTAATTTGTCATTTATTAAAATTATAAATATATATTTTAACTCAAAAGTACAGTTTTTAAATTTAACCCTAACCCTTGTGCGTGTTTTTTATTTTGACAGCGAATGCGCACCTGCGGACCACTTATGTGCAGCCCTGGTTATTTAGCTCGTCATATTGCAGCCACAGAAATTATTTTGTCCATGAAACCATAAAGCTGCACTTTCTTTTTGCCTTATAGTCTGATTTGTCATAACTTCTCCGTTTTGTGGTAAGCTTTTCTTTGGCTGTCACTTCTTCACCCTGACCTGCCTTATTTGGCTCAGCAGAACTAAAATATATATCCTGCTGCTTTTACACACGCACTCACATAAGCTCAGCGATTCTCTGCGCGATCAACCTCTCACATGTTTAAGCTTGCTGCGGGAGATTTCACTTGTCATGTTTGCATAGTAAGCTAACGATTAATAAGACGATGCCAGAGGAATTGGTGCACAAATTATCATCACTCACAGATCAGTGCTGTCGCTCTCTATACACAGTTCGCGCGATTGCAAAGTGAAAGCAAAAAACAAGCGCAAATTCAAACACGATTTCAATATGTCACATATTGACAGTGGCTCACCGATGCCAATGATATAATTACCCAGCTAAATTTCTGAAAGAATGCAAAAGCATTGACATATATTTTTCCTTCCTACAATAGCCCGACGGGCAGGGCAGAGATAGATTTTGGTAGCCCGACTGGAAAAATCGCTAGCCCCAGGACGTCGGGCTAGCGATATTGCGAGCCCTGTATCTGATTGAGGAATCACTCATCTTTGGAAAAGAGAGTTTATTACAGAGAAATGTCTCTTTCCAAAATAAAAGCTATACTATCCGCTTCTTCTGGGCTATATTCTCAGCAGCATAAGGAGAATCATGTGCTAACAGCTGTCTAAATGACTCGGCTAAAGTTAGTAGCATGCTTGTTGTTTTTGTCTTTGCACTAGGATGATGTCGGCGTAAATGTGCAGTCATATTCGTTGTGTTCTCACTAGTGCTTTCAGGTTAATCTCGTTGAAATGACCTTAACGCCACAACACGGCAAATCTCCTTTAATGAGCTACCGCCGATCGCCCCGTGCATGGGGCTAGACGGCCAACACGTTAACGAGCTTACTGCGCTAACACACTAGTTCCCACCCATGTAATTGAGCATTGCATGGCACATCCAACATACTGTTTTACTTTAGTCCATGACTCGCTTACCTTCAGGGTCATACGTCACATGAAAACCAAAATAATTCCAAACGCCAGATCTGATTGAGGTTGGGGGAGGTCCATGTTGCAAGGAGAGCTTAACTTCTGTCTTGCTAGCTTGCCCTGCGCTCTTCCTTCTGACTATGCTGTCTGTGTTGAGCGCTCAGTGGATCTGCGCTCGACAGTGCAGCCTAGGCGGAGTAGTCGAACGCAGATTCACTGAGCGCTCAACACAGACAGCATCGTCAGAAGGAAAGTTGATAAAATAAATTACAAATGTTGTATTGTTCGATACATATGCGTACCGAACCGAAAGCACTGTATCGAACGGTTCAATATCGATACGAATATCGTTGCACCCCTACTATCTATCTATCTATCTATCTATCTATCTATCTATCTATCTATCTATCTATCTATCTATCTATCTATCTATCTATCTATCTCTCTCTCTCTCTCACTCACACGTGGCTGCACGGCACTAACGCGTTAAAGAGCTAACCACGGCCTTGCAGCCCCACGCACCAGGCTATCCGCGATAACTCGCTAATGGAGATTTGCCACTTTAATGCAGTTATGGAGTTAAGGTCATTTTAACAAGATTAACGCTGACAGCACTAATATAAATTTAACCTTTTTACCTTTTACCACTCACATTTAAGCAAAACAAGGATGTATGCAAGTAAACAGACCTTAACAAACACATTTGCAGAAATGCTGCCTTCAGTTAAAAAGGCACCACCTACCAATTATTTCAACACTGATTAGTTTGTTTCTACCAGTTTGTATTTGTCATTTGTAAACAATCATTACCACGCTGAACAAGAAATAACACTGGCTGTTATTTGATGTAATCAAGTGGATACTTATGCTGATTTCTGCCACCTCAAAAATTTGATTTGTGTTTAGCCTGAACAAAATTTCAGATTATATATTTCCTCCCTTTGTCGAAACAGTTAACAGGTACTTTAACTTTAAAGGTGGCATAATATGCTCACTTTTATCTCAGTATTTTTATTCTTGTAACTTATCCTATGCTATGCCACTTAGTGCAGTTCCTCAGTTCACCTGCTTTATGCTCCATTCCCTTTTAAGCTAACTTTCTTATGATTAGTTCCCCTTATGATTAGGTAAATGCTGTGTTTAATATGACCATCCACTAGTGTAGCTGAATATATAATGAGAGAAAGTAAGGACAAGCTACATAGGTCCACTTTAACCAGCCAATTACAGGAAGAAAATCTCTTGTACGTCTTATTACCTGGTTTAAAATAGTGATGTATCTTATGCACTTGCATGCTCTTTGTGGCTTTCTGTGTTTGTTGCACCCTACTGTGCGCTCCCTCCCTTATGCTTCTTTGCAGATGTACGTGACACTGGTGTTCAAAACCAAAGGCACACGGCTCACCAAGCCCACTATCAGCCTCACGCTGCTTTGTCTCGCCATGCTAGTCGGTGTGGTCAGAGTGGCTGAGTACCGCAACCACTGGGCTGATGTCCTGGCGGGATTCTTCACTGGGGGAGCCATCGCTGTGTTTTTGGTGAGGAGAGAATAGAAGGAGCAGAGAGACAGGCAGACAAATAGATTAAAAAAGAAAGACATGTTCTCAGTTTTTTAAGCGCTCCATCTTTGCATGTAAAGACGAGCTTACTTGCCCCTGAGAGCACTGTGAAAACAGCTGTGTAATGTCTCATATGGTAATTTATTATCTTTCTTCATAATCTAAAACAATGTGTCTTAGAAAAATGTCCTGTTAGGTGCTTTTAATTATGAAAAAAGACAAAAACGGTCATTAATGGGCTACATATCAATCAGATGATTAAAGACCACATTAATATCTCAACAGATTAAATGACATTCGGAAATAGGTTTACATGCAATTTTAATATGCTGCACCACAGTAGCAGAAGTCAAGCAACCATTTTTTTAAACCACACCCCTTTTTGTTACTGTTACTATACCTGGCGAGCTTTACATTTTCATGGCATGAGTCATGCTTTGGTTGGTTCTAACTTTCCCGCTATAGTATCTGGTTTTGTTTTGACCAATTGCTTTGGTCCACTATAACAGTTTCCCAATGCAAGTACCACAATAATAAATTACTCAAGACATTTTCTTTGCCTAACTGATAAAGAAATACTGAAAAATAACCTTAATCTGACTATAAAATTGTTTTAAGTGAATTTCTAGGTTACTCCTTAAAATAACTGTAACATTTAAACAGGTAACAAAATGTTTTGTATAATTCATTGAATCAAAGTTGAGAGTCTCAATTTCAATTGTACACAGAGTGTTTCATTTCAAACCTATTATAGTGGCATAGAGACCCCAAATTATGAAAAATCATGTAACTGAAAGTTGCAGACCTAACAGTAGTTAGCGGTGCCTGATAATGTTTTGCAGTTTACACCCACTCATCATGAGCATGAATGCCATGGTAACTTTGGACTCCTAATTATTTCTTTGATATATTCTTTTTCTAGGATACTCTTTAATGACTTTAAAAAGCAAGAATTGGGTGCAAATGTTTGACTTTATTTTGGATTTTTTCTAATCTAATGTAATGCAATACAACCAGCAGCAAAACAACCCCAGATTATGATGCTACCTCAACCATGCCTGAGGCTTGGTGGAGTGTTCTTAGTAGGGGTGGACGATATAAACGATATACGATAGAAACGATATAAATTTGGCCAACAATAGAGATTTTGACTATATAGCTCTATCGCGATAGCGCATGTTGATGATGTCATCAAGCTGCGCCTGTTTTGGTCGAAAGCATCCTGCTATGCGATTGCATTTGTCCCTAATCACCAGAATCCCTCACATTAACTTTTATCGAGTGGAAAGAAAGTTGGCGTTCATCCTCCAGCTTCACTGTGCTAATGTTATGCTAACATAGCTGTGTCGCTAGCAATCAGGTAACACAACATTATATACCAGGTAGGGTAGTCCAACTTAAGTAACCCTGCAAACGCCACTGCTGTTTACTTTAGCTGAACATAAAACCTTTCTTCAGGAGTGTTAGGTTTTGCCATGTGGGCAGCAGCATGTCTCAGTTGAGCTTGACAGTGCCACCTTTGGAGCAGGGCCTTCTTTCTTGGTTAGCACTGTCTTAGTCCATGGCTGTGAAAAAACCCACATCACTTTGGACAGTGACACTGGTGTTCCAGCAGTTTCCAGGTCATGCCTTGGAACCTTGGTGGTTCCTTGGTTGTTCCTGAATATCCTAACATATTTCTTCTCAGCTGAGGGTGACAGTTGGGTTTTCTGGTGGGGAAAAATCCAAATAACTTGCATTTACATAGAAATGTTTGAACTGATGGTGCAGTTGTTGAGACCTTCCCAACTTGTGTAAATCTGTAATTCTCATTCTTAGATTTTCACGTGGACTTTCCCATTCTGAGTATCGAGTAATCCAGAGAGTACTGTCAAATTCTTTTTATGTTGAGTTGAAAAGTTGTAGAACCAGTTGTAGTCAATCATGATCACTAATGAGAGGTTAATATGCCGTGACCATGTCAAGTTAAAAGACAAGAACCTTTCGTACCACATATTAGAAGATTTAAGTGAATGTATGTCGATATCTGAGTATGTTTGAGTACTTTTGACCCCGTGTGGATTGGAGAACAATATTTAAACTTGTCCATTAAAGATGTACACTGGAAAAAGAACAGTTCAAAGTTTTTATCCAAAGCCCAAAATAACTTTAACATTCATGCTCTTTGATAATTCGGTCCTTTTTTCCCCCAAAGCCCTTGTAAACCATTTTGCCACACAGGAAAATCCACTAAGCTGTTACTGAACAATCTGATTAGGTGTTGAATTTGACAAATGGTCAATTTCTCTCATGTGTCTCATTCTGGTCCCAGTTAACTCTTTATGTTGGTTTCTATCATCAGGTGACTTGTGTGATTAACAACTTCCAACAGCTGCAGCCCGGTCTTCCTCCACCGCGACCCCAACGTCCCGAGTCAATGCTGGGCATGCCGATGGTGACACTGCCCTCCGTGGAGAGTCCACTCGAAAAGTTAAGTGGCCCTCAGGTAAGGGGCGGGGGTGGGTGTGAGGCACAACTGTGCTCACAGAAGGGCTGAGATACACACCCCTTGTCTCTTAACTGAATCCGTGACCTTCCTTTTGTTCCTCAAAAAAGAACAAATTCAAACATGCTCCAAGCCCACCCGCACGCCCAGTCCTAGCAAAACACCCAAGTGAATCCTTTAAATCTCTGCGCACGCGAAGCTTGTTGTACCCTGATAAGAACGCATGTGAGATTTGTTCTAGTGGTGTGAAATGAGCCACGGTTATGTTTCAGTCAGAGGATGGAACAAATTCTAGTGTGAATGTTTGCTTTGGAAAGAGGTGCTGCTTACTCCTAAAAATCCCACAGTGTTACAAATTTTCACGTTATCTGGTTTATAGAGAGAGCCACTTGTGTCTTTGAGGTGAATCAGCAGTTTGGCTGACACACTCCAAGTGTTATTTACCATTTGGATATAATGCAGAGCACTTGGCTGAAGGGAAACTGTGAAGTCAGCAGAGGCTAAAAGAAAATAGTCTTAGCTGTGGAAGCGATCCCCTCAAGTTATATCTGCTCTCCGAAAGCGCTGCATTTTCTAAAGCGATTCTCTCAGGGGTGAAGCATTTAGAAAAATACCGTGCGTCCTCTGTGGTCTCTCACTGTCTCTAACCCTCACCTGACTGCCTTGTTTTCCTCTGTCTCCCACCTTGCCTCTCTCCTTTCAATCTGCTCCCTTGTCCCTCACTCTCCTTCAGCATCTTGCACTCTCCTCCTCCTCCCCACCTTACAACACCTACGTCCAACCATTCTAACCAGCTTTGAATATTTTTTACCCAACGTTGTCACCCCCCCCCCCCCCCCCCCCCCCCCAACACTATCTCCACCATCTGTTGCCTTATTTCTGTTTTTTGCTCTGTCGAACATCTGTTCTGTCCTCCACTCATCCCTGTACATTGCTCTTGATTATTCTTTTCTTCACTTTTCTCTCTCTTCCTCCGCCTCCTCTCTGCCCCGTCCTCCTCTCTCTTTCTCACTCCTCTCTTTCCCCTGCAGACTCCGCGGGGATCTCCGTTCACAGAGATCACATGACCATCAGCCCTATCGGTTCCCCGCCACCCCCGATGTCCTCATACCGTCTCGCTCCATTTCCAGCGAAGTCTAGACCAGTCGGAGCAGCACTCACCACAATGCGCCGCCCATCCGGCTGGGCGGTACACAACATTGCACCGCTCCTATTCCACGCAGGTCTAGACCCCCCACCCCTCCTAATACATGATACACAGCACACACATCCCCCGTTGCCCTCTCAACCCCCGGGGAACCGATAGGCAAACTCTTCAAAGACTTTCTCTTTGTTGGAATACCAGTAAAGTAAAGCTCTGATCAATAAGTACAGAGTCAGGTACATCTTTTTTTTCTTTCCTTTTTTTTTCATGTTGAAAAATGTAACTAATTTTTTTATATGTATATAAACTCAATCACATGAAGCTCACTTTCATCAGCAGTGGTTTGCTCTGTTACAAAAACGAAATCAAACGGTGACCACTGAGAATGTCCGCTGCTTCTTTTTCTCCAACCGTACGAGCGCACGCCTGTTTGAGGAAAGAACCCGAAAGGTGATGGTGAGCTCTCAGGACGCGGCTTTGACGTGCGCCGTGTTGGACCAAAGAAACCCACCTGAGGAAATGTGTGCTGCTGAGATTTACCCGTACAAAACATCCTTTTAGCAAGCCATATGAACACACAAACAAACACACTTGCTCTCCTTATTTCATCCCATGCACGTGCACACAGACACACGCATAAGCACCCACCAGGGTTGAGTAGCAGTGCCCTAGTCAGCTTCGCATGAGGTTTCCCAGGATCAAAGGATCCGTTTCTTATCCTTCAGCAGAAGCACCAGACAAAAGCAAACAGGATGAAGGTACAGACATCTTCACTTGGCTATCAACTTTGTGTTTTCCGTCGCTCTCAGATGGTTGCAATTTTGCCAAAACCTAATGTGAAACAGAAACACACATTGGATGAGACAAACCCAAGCTCCCGAATGCAGGTGGCACAACAGTGAGCCAAATTAAGTGCATCACATTCAGGAGCAAATATTTGTTTTTTGCTTGTTTTTTTTTGTATTCTTTTGCGAAGAGGAGCCTTCATACAGGACACTTCTCTGTGATGCCAACTGACTTTTAAAAAAAATGTCTCTTTCATTTAACTGTGGAACAGCATCGCTCATCCCGAAGTGGCGTCTCCTTTGGCTGCGTCGTGTAATTACTGTGATTTATTTCTGAGATTTTATTGATATATTGATTTACTGACGTTTGTGTATATACGGCGTGGTTGCCATAAGCGCTCCGTGTGGCGTGACAGTTTTGCTGATTTTGATTTGCACACTCCCTCACGATCCACTTTTGTCTTTTGTTCTCTTCATTTGCCTTTGTTTGCTTTTCCTTTCTTTACAAATACATTTTGTTTTTTACATTCTCCATTTATCTCTCTTCTCTGTGGTGTCTGTATCTAGGTTAATATGCCATCACTGTGCTGTGAAATGTTTCCCTCTGCTGGACAAACAAACACACACACACACACACAAACACACACACACAAGCACAGACACACAAAGCACAGAAGACCTCGTTTTACAGACGTAAACTCTAACATATTTGAAAGCACGCACATGCACAAGCACACTTATACCCCCTACTTGCTACTGTACTTTCCTTCTCCTCTTCCCCACTTTCTAACACCGAACCTGTAAGATATTGTACATAGCTCTTTTTTCTATTGAGAGTGTGATTTTTACACAAGCATCACCAAGACTCTGTGTGGCGATTGAAGGAAAATCTTGTTTTTGTTACAATGATGGAGAATTCGAGCAGACGTGCTGAACCACTCTGACCCATCAGTTGGAAAGTACTCAGATGACTCACTTTTTGTTTCAATTTGCTGCGTCTGTCTGTTGGACTGAATAAAGCTGGATTGGAAAAGTCATTTTACTCTGACATCAGACACTATGTGATCCTGACTTTCTGAGTTTTATTAGGCCATTTTCACTTTCCTTTTTTCATGCTTTGATCATCCATCCATCCATCCTCTACTTTTCAGTTGTGATGGGGCAAGAGTGAGGTTACATCCCAGACAGGTCAACAGTTTATAGTGGGGCCATAAATTTAAAGCATAGATATCTAAACACCCTAAGAGATCTATTTTTCCTTTTTCAAGGCAATAGGTCAAGCTGTGAACACACATTTCACAAATTATTGCATTCTAGTTAGCACTAATATTTTATCTAACAGCTTTCACATCCAACTTAACAGATTAAGAGCTTTAATTTGATGAATGGTGTAATATTAATGATGAATGGGCATATTTTCTATTTTGGTTCTACTATGCTCTACTATGATCACCAGCCAGCTGCTAACTTTGTTTGTCTGCTGTCTACTTGGACCAGTTTTACAGTTACCAGAGGTTTCCCCACTGAAGGGAGCTTACTGCTCTTAAGTCTTAATTATCTGGCATAAAGTGAGACTCATTCATGATACCAGCAGATCAGCTGATCCTCATGCTATTCCACATTAGCTGATCCGACTTATGCTATTTGAGTTGGTGTAGCCTGTCTGCAGTTAATGCACTTCTGCAAGCTGCTTTGCAACCCACCTTGATCACTACCCCTTCTCGAATGCTCTATCTGACTTCATCAATGTCATGTCTATTGTGTAATAAAGCCGCAAGGTCCCAGAAAAGAATAATTGTTGCAGATGGAAAGGCATGTATCGCTTTTGGTTCCCCATTCATGTGGATGTAAGATAAAGATGGCCCAATTTTCTGATGATAGGCCTGTGTTGTAAATATGTGCCTCTCTGGCTATTCATTAGCATTATAACATTAGTGATAATACGCCATCAGACTGCGTGACAACAACTAAATCCTCCATCAGCCTACATATCTTTAAGTTTTTTGTTAACCTTCCTTACGAACGCTCCACTCACACTCTATGTGGCTGTCATAGGTATCACTTTGGAAATTAAAACAAAAAGAACATAACTTCTCTTCATTTTATTTTTTTTTAATTGTGCTCAGCTAAATAAAAATGACCATCTTTTGGAGATCCAAATCTAGCACCCAGTAGATTTTATTTTTCATTATAGCTTCTACTTAACCAAAAGCATGTGTTTGACCATTGAGAATATGTGCTAAACTACCCTTATATAGTTCCCTGATGGATGCTAAGCTTCATTATCATCAGCATCTTGTACTTGTGAGAGGTTTGATTTCACTGAAAAAACAAATAAATAAATAATCAAAACTGTGACATTTTGATGGCTCAGAGAGCCAGGGCTACTTATACCACATAGTGTACCTGCAACTTTGTGAAGCTGAGTCAGACATGTGACCTTTGCTGCATGATGGCCCTTTGTTTCATGTGTTTCCTCATTTCTTTCCAGTCTTCAATGTCCCAGTGAAGCAGAAATGCCTTAAGATAATCTTGATGACAAAATGTAACGAAAGTGTTTTCTAAGCAGTGACTGGCTGTAATTTCATTTGCAAGTGCGAATTTGTCATTTGTCCAAATTCTCTGTGAATCCTCTGTGATCCAAAATGCACAAATGAGACACAATCAAACATGAAAGGTAAACACGCCCGCCACGAAGACTCGGATTCTCCACCGGCTCGACTGCCGTCGCCGCAGCTTTACTTTCCTGTAAAGTCTTCGGTAACACATGTTTAAAAATCAAACAACAAACACGCTGCAGTTGACTGACATGTGAATAAAAAGCACCAGTCTCCTTCAGATCTGCTACTCAGAGGCAGGACCGTGTTTCCTTTGATCCTGATGCAGCAAACCCTCTGTTTTTGTAAAGATTTGTGTGATGAGAACAATAAATGGATATTGAAATAAGAAAAGCTGTCTGTGTCAGTCTGCACTTCTTGTTTTGCTGTTGTGTTCTCAGAGTGATTGGCGGTGATTTTGTGTGTCAGAGCTGCTGCATTTGTTTTGCATGTGAACAGGATGCTTTTTTTGACTTGAGGAAAGGAAGCGGGGAGAAAAGGCTGCCAAGTCACACAAAAACTGGACGAAAAAATCAGCATCAGCAGGTCTTATGGAGTGATAGCTCCAAATTTTACATTTTTGGTTAAAAAGGTTATCAATATATAAAGAGGAGGTCAGGAGAAAGTTAGAACAGTGAACTGCCATGTAAAACACAGTGGAGACTCTGTCATGGTTTGAGACTGCATTTCATTTCGTTTTGTTGGGAAAAAGTGATAACGTCAGGGCTTCTTAGAAAGCCTTCTGTCCCCTTCTTTGTATTTTATAAATGCAGCTCAACTCCTAAAGTATCTTCTGATCTCCTGACATGGAGCCAAAGTATCACTGATTAAAAGAAAAAACTAATAACAAAAGGTACAGATTCATTTAAAATGATTAGTCACGACTTACTACATTATTATTCCCATTCCTTTCCCATATACACATGGTGTATATCTCCAGATGACAAATTCTTTACAAATGTGTCAGTACAGCAATGAAAAAAGTCCCACATCCAACATTCTACTTGACAGAAAGTACTTAGCAGTATTACCAGCAGCATGTCTCTATGTTCATTATCATTAAAAATCATGTTACTGGATCGTTAACTCTACATAACCTAGGCCCTTTGTCTCTTGATAAGTCTCACTGGGTGTCAGAAGTTTAAACATTAGAACAGAAAAAATGTTCTTTTATGCTTTTAAAGTTTTAAAGTGAAGTAGTTGTTTAAATGTAATCAAAATGAGAGAAGTTTTAAGGTAATTTTTCTCGACTTTAATTTTTTTAAATATAAAATCTTACTACCTAAAGTTACTTTTGAATAAATGTATGAAATCAGTTGCAGACAGGGTGCCCTATGTCTCTCTAAAATGTCTAGCTGCTGAGTTGTAAGTTAAAGTAACATTGAAGTGTCACGAAGCAGACCTGTGGTAGTTGGCTAATTTCCACCTCCATCTGTTCCATAGGGAACTCATCCTGCTTTATTCGTGGCCTCTACTAGAGTAGCTTTGCATACTTCACAGCTCAAAATAACCCTTATTTATCTCGAGCTGATGCAGCCACACACCTCATCCACTGTCTGAAACATGCTGTTTTAGCTTCTCTTCCATTAAGACCACCTTTAAGCTAGCATCGGGCACCCCTCCTAACAGGGTTAGGCTATCCACTTTCATTGACATTTATAAAGCCAGGAGTAGAGAAAAAGCCTTAAAGTATGGCTCATAGGGATTACTCGCACATACACTGACCTCATTGAACCCTTGGCCATCTTTCTTATGAACCAGCACCGTAACAGAATATATATGGCACGATCTGATGAGATATCCGCGCGTTGGTGTTGTTCCTACATCATCATTGATCCAGGATCATCAACAATGCAACTGATCAATGCTTTAGGTTAGCAGGAGCCAAGACATTAGATAATGCTGTTAAAACTTTCACAAGCGAACCAACACGAATAATGTAAATCTGACTAACATGACATCATTATGTTGTATAAATGAACAAATAAAACAATTGAAATGCTGATAATTTGTTCCAGAAAGGAGTTTTAGATAAACAAAGCCTTTTTTATCCTTTTGTTTTTTGCTTTCTATCCCCACTTTGCAAGGCTATGACATCACAAAATGTGATTGGCCAATTGCAACATTATTATGATGCAGGAACTCCAACACAAGGATATCAGATATATTGCATTTAAGAAAGATATTAAGAGAATCACTGGCATATATGAGTAATTCAGAGGCTGTGATGTTCAGACTTGTTTTTACGCATCAAGCTCCAGAAACTATTCACAGTCTTCCACTTAATAATGACATCATCAGGGGACATGCTGTTCCAACTGTTCTCACAGGCTGCTCCGCATGACTGCTGAACTGTTAAGTCTGCAAAGTGTTCTTTTAAACCTACAGCACAACTTTTAAAATATTCGAAAAAAAGAAACCGAAAACAAATACATACATAGTCTCATTCGGCATAAATTCCCAGTCTGTTTAAAGCTGTGTGACACGGCAGGCTCAGTACTGCCATCATGTGGGGTAAAGCGTTCCTTTCCAACACACACCTGAGATGGAGCTCAATGATTGTGAAGGGGAATTATAATCTTTTAGCCCAGTTATTTTCAGAGTTTTATTTAAAATATGTTCAAATGAATCAATTAAATATGAATGAAAGGAAGTTAAACTACGGTGTCACGCGTGCTGGGAATGACCACATGAAAGAAAACCATATGAAACTTTAAATTCAAAAAAATTAAAAAGTATGCTTTTTCTCATTTTCTTTTTAACAACACTTGACTGGCCACTCTCAAGGGGTGCATGCGTTTGCGGGTTAAATCCACACGATGGCGTTGTACATCACAGACATGTAAATATTAAGGGAGGGAGCACAAAGTCGGCTCCAACAAAGCATTCATCCTCCAGACGTGAAGAGACATCTCAAGCTGTGTCATGAAATGAAAGGAACAATCAAAGTTTCTAATGAGAAGATCTGCACCTGTGCACGCTAATGAGTTATAATGGCATCCATTTCCTTAATGTCACAGATAATGGTAAGAACTGCTTATACGTAAGCGTCTGCGCGCTCTGCCACTCTGCACGTGTGATTTGCACAGCGAGTGGCTCTTTTTTGACAGATTTTTTTTCTTTTTCTTTTTCTTTTTTTCTTTTTGGAGGGAAATTCGGGCCCTGAAACATGGAACACTATCCACGGAAAGCTGATCAAAGAAACCTTACAGTACAGCTGACGCTAATTGCAACCAGCTCAATTCTCCAGACTTTTAGAGAGATGCACCTGCAATTCCTAAAAAATAAATAAATATATATATTTTTAACTGCCTGACTGAATGTAAATGACTACCAAACATCCCAGTAAGAGAGGTTCAAAGGATGGTGCCGTTTCCTGGTGAAATCCCACCTGCAGCATCTTTCTGTCTCTTTTTTTTCTTGCCCATACAGGCCTCATTAGTGTGGGCAGCACAACTCCTTCTGTTAGTTTGCTGGGAATTTTAATTCCACTGTCTTCTTCTCTGCATTCCTATCGCAAAGCTTTTCTTGTAATTTTTGGTAATTTTATTTTCAACCAGAAAGCTCTTTTGGGTTTGAAGGTAAACGTGATTGGGGTGACCAAACGCTTTAATACCAATTCGGAGCAGAGAGGGTTTTGCATGCTGGGGATGAGTGCGCAAAAAATATGACTGCAGAATGTGCACTAAGAGATTTCTTAGAGAGAAATCATGTCATTTTTGTCTTCTTCTTCTTTTGCATAAGTGGAAAAGAAATACACTGAAGCAGTGACTGTCCTTGTTATTGTTTCCAGGAGTCTGATGATTTATGCTTATGATCCTGATAGATACAATCAACATCTTTCAATTCAACAGAGAGAAAATATATTAAAAATTCAAGGCTGAAGCCGTCTAACTGATTTATGCTTCGCAAATATGCATGACGTGGAGAGGCAAAGGTGAAAACACAACTGATCCTTTATCTCCTTCCCGAGTCAGTAAAACTGGACAGTCAAGTTGCATATGGGCAAATGTGGACCATTTGCTCAGGAGATGATATCAAGTGAAGGTTAATCAATATTTATTGAGTAATTTAGTGAATTTAGGTGACCCATCACTAAACCTTAAATGATCTCTATTTTTAGCCTGTCGGGCTTCAGATTTATGCACATGTGTGAGCAGTGTGCACAAGGCTGAGAGATCTTCAAGTTTTTCTCTTTCCAAACCAACAAACAGCAAAAAAACACAACCGCACTATGCATCACATCTTCTACATAATGGGAGAAAGTGTAGATCTTTAACCCTATCATGCCCTTTTTATCATATTTGATACATGAGTTTCTGAGACCTCTATCTCATCAACATGATCAGTACTTGCCATAATTTCAAAATGTTATGGACAAAACTTTTTTTTTTGTCTTTTGTTGTTACAAAAAGTTGCACAAAATGCCCAATGTATCGAAATGCGATACAAAAAAATATAATAAATATATAATAATGGGTCTTACAGGGTTAAATATTTGCAAACATAAATATATATTTAAATATTTGCTGCCCATTTAGACACTTATTATCTTGCATTCAATGACAAGAATACAGGCACCAGTCATTTTTGAAAGATCAATTGCTTCTTAACACAAAGCAATCACATGGAAGAAGCCCAACACTTCTAGGCATGAAGATATGGTCAACTTGGCCTCCTAAAGTTCAAACTGAGCATCAGAATGGATAAAAAAGGTGATTTAAGTGACTTTGGACTTGGCGTGGCTGTTGGTGCTAGATTTGGTCTGAGTATGTTAGAAACTGCAGATCTGCTTCTCAACACAACCATCTCTTGGGTTTACAGACAATAGTCTGTAAAGAAAATATCCAGTGAGCAACAGTTCTCCGATGCCAGAGGAGAATGGCCTCAACTCAATAACCACTCATTACCACCTAAGTATGCAGAAGATGATCTCACAATGCACTGAAGTCAAAGTAGATGGGCTACAACAGCAGAAGACCACAGCAGGTACTTCTCCTGCCACCTAAGAAGAGAAAACTGAGGCTACAACAACTATCACCAAAAACTGGTTCAGGCTGCTTCTACTGAGCATTGTTTAGAGACCACAGGCACATGTATACAACCGCTGTGAGTCAGAAGACTCACAAATTCCATCTGCTTTTATATTTTCTTAAATATTTAAATGAAAAAAGTGCACAAACCTCAGAGTATCGGACAACATGTTACTGTTGAGAGGTTGTTCTCCAATACTGTGCTGGACCTTACACAGCCATTCATATCATATGATACACGAGTTGTATAAAGTCCAACCACATCTTCAGCTCACTGCTGGATTATTTGTCACTACAGGAAGTAACAAGCCTTCTGAAATG